AGTGATTACCGCTAATGACATGGAAACAATGTTTCAGTTTCACACACAAATTGATTTAAACGGTTACATCTTCACATGACCCGTGAAGATTCCGGGGTAGAATAGGTTTTCAGTAACCCATGCTTGCCGTGAAAGGCAGTAACCCATGCTTGCCGTGAAAGGCAGCAACCCATGCTTGCCGTAAAAGGCGACTGTGCTTGTCGTAAAGGCGACTATCAGGATCGGGTGGTCAGGCTCGCTGACTTGGCTGATGCATGTTATCATATCCCAATTGCGTGGATCGATGCTCATGATATTAATCACTGGATTGTCTGGTCCAGACTCGATTATTTACAGACCGCCGTCATATAGCCGGAATATTGCTGAGTGCGGCATTAAACAACAAACCAACCAACAGTTACATCTTCACACACACTTATTAAACAGCAATGTGTTGACTCAGGAAATGAGACATGGCATTGTACCTTTGTAACAACATGGCAATACCAAAGTTTGAAATGTACTACAAATAAGTCTTGAGAGGAAGTTCTCTCTTTGTGAGTTCTGAAATGTCATCAAATTGTCTTCCAAATAATATATACTACTGAAAAGAAATGAAAGAACCCCCAGTTCATTCATATAACTATAGTTAATTTGTCATGCAGTGACAGATTACCTATAGTAATATGAGTGAGTGAGTATAGTTTTATTTCGCTTTTGGCACTATTCCAGCAATATCACAGTAGGGGACACCAGAATTGGCTTCACACATTGTACACATGTGGGAATCGAACTGGCTCTTCGGCGTGACAAGCGAACGCTTTAGCCCCTAGGTTACCTTACCTCCCGTAGTATTATGAAAGAATCTGGTGTTCTTTAACTTCTTGTAAGTAATATATGAATGTCTTGGACATTTTCCTGGTTTCCTAAGACATATCAACCACAGATGAGAATGAATTAAGTGCATTCTTAGACTACATTTTTTAAATGAAATAAAAAATGTAGGACTGAAAGCTCTTGGCATGATCATTCGTGATTTGACTTCATACTTCAGTGAAAATTTCAAATTTTATGCGAGTCAATCATTGCATTGAGCACGGTGTCACAGCGCTTCCCAGGGCCTGGTGATAAAATCAGATAAATCCTGTCATAAATCTTAAGACATCATTACTGTGATTGTCAAGAATGTGAGCATGGCCCAAGGCTTGAAGCTAATGCTCCATGCCCCAGGACACAGTTGTACTTCTTTCTGCAGTCAAACTAATGCCTGTTCTCCTCTCCTGGTCTCAGAGGAGATGTATCCAACACAAATATTGTTGCAGACGATGCAGATAGCATCTTCTTATTAGTGTCATTGTGTCTAAATGGATGTGTCATATGGCTCATTGCTCTGGCAGATGGAGCTACCAATTACCTAGTGATTCCACTCCCCCTCAAATTGTTACACTTATAAATCATTGTTGTGAAGGAAATTTGATATAATATAAGCAGTTGGTGTTGTTTCAAACATTTCTTTGAAACATTTTATTGTACTGGAATAGCCTCAGTTATAGTCAGTGTTTCAGCTACAGATAATGTTTTGGCTGTAGTCAGTGTTTCAGCTGCAGATAATGTTTTGGCTGTAGTCAGTGTTTCAGCTACAGATAATGTTTTGGCTGTAGTCAGTGTTTCAGCTACAGATAATGTTTTGGCTGTAGTCAGTGTTTCAGCTACAGATAATGTTTTGGCTGTAGTCAGTGTTTCAGCTACAGATAATGTTTTGGCTGTAGTCAGTGTTTCAGCTACAGATAATGTTTTGGCTGTAGTCAGTGTTTCAGCTACAGATAATGTTTTGGCTGTAGTCAGTGTTTCAGCTACAGATAATGTTTTGGCTGTAGTCAGTGTTTCAGCTTCAGATAATGTTTTGGCTATAGTCAGTGTTTCAGCTTCAGATAATGTTTTGGCTGTAGTCACTGTTTCAGCTACAGATAATGTTTTGGCTGTAGTCAGTGTTTCAGCTTCAGATAATGTTTTGGCTGTAGTCACTGTTTCAGCTACAGATAATGTTTTGGCTGTAGTGACTGTTTCAACTTATTTGCAAGATTATTTGTACATGTTATGTTTTATCAGTATATTAATATGACTTCTCTTTTGCATTAACCCGTCAACATTTTAAATACTTGTTTGAAAATGATTTATTACTCAACCATGAATTATCAAATATGTTTGTAAGCACTGGACATGACATTGGACAAATGTTTATTTTTGGAAGATCCTAGTTTTCTAGATTTGATTATATAGTGTAGAAAGTACATGTTCTGTTGATATTAATACGATAATAATGTGTATAATTGTGGCCATACTAATTGATTTTAACATATGATACAGTTTATTTGAAAAAGTATTTTCTCATGGTGTCAGGGAAACAAACACACAAAAATAATATTCACACAAAATTGGTTCATTCTATACTGAATAATTTGATGTTTACATGTAATTAAAGTATTTTTAATGCAGTCATAGACAATTACTAGAAAATAATGTACATAAATAAATTATCTGATATATGCCGCTGTCATGCATTAGTTATGTATATCTCTTGTGAGCACATCATAGGGTATTCTCCATTAAATCTTTGAGTTCAAGAAGATCTAATTTCGACACCTTTTTGGATGAGTCGCCTAAGGTTAAGAATCTGGTTGTGAGCTCCGATCTTTGATCACATGACCCAAGGGCAGAGCACTCCTTGCACTGTGACCATATTGCAACCAATGAACCCTAAGGGCAACCACGACAGCTAAAGAGGTGATAACATCAGGTGATATACCCTGCCGGTTCTAACCTCTATAATTCCCGAGTAGTTGGAGGCAACAGTTGCAGTGTTCTCTTTACTTTGTTTTCTAATTTGTCATAATTACCCAATTCTACCCTGGGTTGGCAGGGTGGCAGTTTTGTTGGCCATCCATACAGGTTTTATGACGGCCAATCGAGGAGAGAGAAAAACTGATGATGAGGTTGATTAGTTGATGTGTGACAGACATAAATCACACCTTCGTCAGTTGTGTTTTCTCAGAATTTTATTTGTGTGAATTGACTTAGTGTTGAGCGTGTTGTTCAGCTGTGCAGTTGGTAGTCTTGCTTGTGGATAAACTTGCGTTTTTTATTCAACACAATGGATTTTATTTTTGATGGTAAGTCAGAACTTATTTTCTTTGTATAATATGTGTAATTACAAAAGAAAATTATGATATATTTGTTTATTTCAAGATGCATAAATATTGATTTATGTATTATTATTTTTCTTGTAGTTGGATTTTACTTGTAGTTGGATTTTATTTTGAGTGTAAAAAATACAGTACTCTGTTATAGAATTATATTTATAAAACTTGTAATGTTTATTGTTTTTTCCTATTTTTGTTAAAAAACAGTTTGTCAGGATTTCAACAATAACATTCAAATATTGACACTGTTTTGAATGAATATTATCGACACTGTTTTGAATGAATATATGTATTTTGTCAGTACAATCATTTGCAAAAAAAACCGGCAAAGTCAGCGAGTGTGAGATACAATTTTGTGATTGTAATAATGTCTACCACAATGTCATGGTGTTTCATGAGACTGAACTGTAGGTTATACATGTTCATGAATATAACTGTTTTTCATAAATTTTGCTGTTCATGGAAACAAGGCATATACAAGCCATTATTTCTTACTAGCTTCGCACGACTTTTAACTCAAAATCCTTTCAGTAGAAGGAGACAAGTGCATTTCAGTCAACAGACACTGAAAATAACATCTTAATTTCTTATTTTGATGATTTTGCATTGTGTTTTTCTCTGACACTTATGAATGACCGTCAGTAAGCCTGCAGCCATGTATTATCATCTGCTGTTTGTCTTCTGTATTATGACATCAATAGTCTAAGAATATGGCCTGATTAGAATTTGAATAAAATAAAATTTTATCATTAAGTGAAAATATTGATTTCTATGATATATTCATCAACCATTCTAAAGTCTTCTCTGAAAATTGTTCAATAACATCATTAAGAATGGTACAATATTGATGCAACCTTTACACTTCTGTCAACACAAAATTTAAAAGTAATTCACAAAATAATCTGCTTTTCCTCACTCCAATCATTGTCAGCCCTCTCATTTCCACATGATTAACGAGGTGGCTACAACCTAATTAGAAAAATAATGTAAATGCTATTGTCTAGTTTGGCTGAAGGTGATCGTCACGAATACATTTAAACAATTATAATTGCCTGCCGTCCAGCGACCACGGGGAGAATGATCCCGTCAATATCACTATATTGTCAACGCGTGAATCGCCGAGACATCTTTATCGGCTGAAGAATCTAATGGTTTAAATGCAGAAGTCACAAACTCGTAAGAGTGTGCACTGCCGTTTGAATTGGTGATTGACTGTTAAAGAAGGGCAATGATAGAGATCTTTCTCGCTTCGCTAGTTTTCCTCTCTGTGTGCCAGTGTTAATGACAGGCCCTTTCAAGGCCTACTTCAACGATTTGACTTTCTTAAACATGAATGAAAAGATCGGCCATTAAATCTCTCAGTTTTTTTCTGTTGTGAGATCAGAAAGCAAATGGCAAGGAAGAGTTGGGCAGTATTAGTGTGTTAATTGATCCCTCTCTGCCAGTTTTATGATTCGACAACATGATTGCTGTTTCTGGGTGTTGGTGTTCCAACAGGACCGAGAGACGCATTAGCACTTTCTACCCATCAGGCTCTGCTTTGTTCACAGAATACAGAATGGACTGACAGCTTTTGGGCTCATCCATTAGACTCCTAGAGTAGTCGTACCAAGAGAATGAGGCTGCACAATAAATGATTTCGTCTTAAGGAATAAAGGTGTTATGAAGGAATTATTCATGGTCAACAAAGAGCTAAAGAGGAACGTTTTGGTATTGAATTTCACTGACTTTTCATGACTTTTGGTAGATTCAGATGTTGTGAAATTGGCTTCTTTACCATACTTTGGTCATGTGACTGATGGATTATTGTTCCTTCTTCAGATATTGACGACACAGCCTCACTCACCTTTGATGCAGATCTTGTCAAAGCAGGTATGTCTGTTTCCTACTTGGTGGAAGTTTTAGATACGGATGTTTGGTATGTAGGTAGATTAACTCTGATATTATCTGAGTAGAGATAGGTATTTGAACAGCTTGAATAAGAAGTCACTCTTTTCTTATTTAATATCATTGTTTATATTTTAAAAATTTGATGCAATGATTTAATTAAGATGAATTCTTAAAAGCAGTGTCCGAAATTAAAGGGATCATGGGGTCCTTAAAGTTTGCTGCTGTAGGAACATGTTCTAGGAACATGCTAAATGTTCAACTTTTAACATTGGAGTCATTACCATTGACTTTGATGCTGAATAGCAAGCGCTTAAACTTAAATTAATAATATCTTCGATACTTTTCAGTTGTGAAGGCTCATGCTCCGTTTAGCATGTTAATCTTCACATAGCTCTCAAGTGATGTTAGAATCCAGGAGTTACTCACTATATGAAATGTTAGTCTGATTATCTTGTCTAACATGAACAAAATGAAATGACTGAGATATTGGAGATATGAAGTTGTGAAGACTTATGCATTTTAAGTCAAACAAATTTTCGGTTGCACTTGTCATGCTCACTTCCTGAAATTATATAAGCTGAAATTCTAGAATTAGTGAAATTTACAAATTATGACACTGGTATGATAATAATATTATTCTAATGATGTCCATTGAAAACATAACAACGTCCTCCGTGTCGAGTGGATAGAGCATCATTGCAAAAAACAACTATATTTTAACTGTCATCACATTATAATGTCTTCAAATTTTCAATGGAAGTCCTTTTCACTGTCAACTATCTATAATCAGTTGTGCAAGTAATAGTATCCTGCTGTCCAAGTTTATTGCACTTTTGCAAGCTGGGAAACCTCACTCCTTTCCTTGTGTGCTTGCAACATCTGAAAATAGATACTTCTATTTGTGATGTTCCTGATTTAAAATGCAATCAGACTATGGAAATAAAAGCGACAAAACTCTTTCCATATTAATAAGATATAATTGCTTAAAGCAGAGTTGATTGTATTATTCAGGCTATATCATGAGCATGTGTCTGTGAATCACTATCAAATAGGGATGTTACCAGTTGAGTGTATCCTGCCCCACCGGTGGCAACAATCACAAACACATGCAAAGGCAAGTTAGAGCAATGGGACCAAAGCATGCTGAAGGAAGGGAGGGATATGTGTTTCATACCCATTTTAAGCATGCCAGGATCCTGTGTCATGGGTGCCAGAGTCAGTCCAATTACGATCCTTGGTTTGTCAGCACTAGGGGTGAAAGATACAGCAAAATCATGATACGATATGTATCATGATACAAAGGTCACAATATGATACATAACACAATATCCATATTTACGTCAAATCACGTGGAAACATCTTGACTTTAAAAATTTCAGAGCAGGTTCTATATGTAGACACATGTTCATTGTGGCTATTTATAGTATAGAATTTAATAACAACACACTTCTCAATTTTTAAATGACAAACACGCCGGGAGGTTATTAAATGAGCAGTAATGTATTTTAGCAAGTGTATCATCTTGTACCGATACAGATGTACTGTGTATTGTATTGGCGAATGAAAACTTATGATGCCCCGGTGAACTGATGTATCATTTCACCCCTAGTCAGCATCATAGGCCTGGTTAAATAAATTTTTATGGAAGGCTTTCAGAAGAATTAACTAAATATCATAGGTCGCTTGTCAACATGATGCACAAGCTCACTCCTTCACTCCTTCACTCACCCAACCCACTCACTCACTCACTCACTCACTCACTCACTCACTCACTCACTCACTCACTCACTCACTCACTCACTCACTCACTCACTGTAAGTAAGTGAGTGAGTATGGTTTTATGCCGACAAGCAAACACTTTAACCACAAGGCTACTCCACTGCCCTTGCCTGCTATACAAATATGTCCATCTTTTCAATGGATACATCTATTTTAGAATGGATACCCACTTTTATCATATTATGGTTAGTGTTATCGATGCAATAAATCTGTTTAACTTGATATCATGATCAGATAAATATGCAAATATGCAGTTCATGTAGTGTTTACAATAGTATTGATGTAATGTCCTAGGTCGTAGGTCACTGGGAGGGGGGAGGGGGGCATCGGTGGCCCAGTTGTCTGAAGCGCTGTGATTCGCTGTGCACAGTTGCGTCCCTTGGACACACCAGAAACCTATGATTGTGGGCTCGAATCACGGTTCGCCCCGATTATGTTTCTAGGTTTGTCAGCACCATACCCGTGCTCGTGGGTTTCACCAAAGTGGTAAACATCTGAGACCTGCATCACTTCGGGCTTTTCTCCCACATTAAGCTGACATGCCGTGATATAACTGGAATACTGTTTAAAGCGGCATTAAACCCAACTCACTCACTCATAGGTCACTGGTCAGCGTGCGATCCCTCAGTACGTCATCATTATTACTGTAAGGATATGATGTTACAATATTACATGATTTACAAGACGTGTGGCTGTTGTAAGGTCAAAGCAATCTACCAACAGAACACAGAACAAACCCAGTGTTCCATGCAAACTGGATGTCTTTATTCAATATCAACATTACAGTTCTCTCAAAAATGTCTTTTATATAAGATTTCTTAAACTACGTCATCGAGTAGGTTAAGAATGATATTTGATAATGAGCCATAGGCTTGCATAATACAATTTTTATTCCTAACATATGATATTTACAATAAGGAAACACCCTTGACTAATGACCTCTAAGTACCCTCATAATGATCTTTTTGGAAAAGAACCATATGTTTTCATTTCATTGCATTTACTAAACAAACTGGGCGGTCGGGTAGCCTAGTGGTTAAAGCGTTCGCTCGTCACGCCTAAGACCCGGGTTCAATTCCCGACATGGGTACAATGTGTGAAGCTCATTTCTGGTGTCCCCCGCCGTGATATTGCTGGAATATTGCTAAAAGCAGCGTAAAACCATACTCACTCACTCACTCACTCACTCACTCACTAAACAAACTATTGATAGGGGGCATCAGTTTTAGTTATTCATATGTAATGTGTCATTGATGTTTTTGCAATTGACTTGCCTTTGCATGCGTTTGTGATGTGTGTTACTGGTGGGGTAGGATACACTCACCTTTTTGCGAACACCTGGTATCTTCTCTATTTGATTGTAATTCATAAACACATGCACATGATAAAGTCCGAATCATACAATCGACTTCTCATAGCAGAGATTTCTCGTGGGTATGGAAAGGGTTTTGTCACATATAGTTGCCATTGGCCTATGCATTGATAGTTCAGTCTGTACACATCTGTTATCAACCTGCATATTTCGTTTATATGATCAAAATCACTTTGAGCATTTCTACACAGCATCAGCAAGTTCACAGCATTAAAGTTAAGCACTTATAAAAAAGCTCATGTAAAATGATGATAATGAAGTAGTATAGAAATACAGGAAAAAAATCCATTGAACTCTTTCATCACAAAGAATATATAAATTTGTTCTCTACAGTTTCGGCTTAAAAGAACTTCTGAAAAAATGCTCAGTGTCCTTTTGTTGTTCAAAGAGAATAGAGATGAGACCCCACACTGTATAACATTGTTGTTAATATTTCAATATTTCATTCAAAAGAAATTAAACATTGAATTTCTCAAAGCCATTTTCCGAGAATATTTTAAAAGATTTTCCTTCCTTCAAAGCTTTGAAGGTCATGATAGAACTCATACATTATTTCTGAATCTGTGCATAATGACATGAATTATATCCAGCCGTTTGAGTCGTGTAGAGGCGGTTTTGCTAATAGCAACAAACACTAAATCGTGTGAAGATGATTGCCACTTCTAAGCAGGAGCGTTTTGCAGGAAATGAAGTAATCCTGAGGCTAATACTAGCAGAGACTCCACGGCTTGTCCATAGTGTTCATTAGAGCTCGTCAACTCAAGTGAAGAATTTGATCGCAGATAATTTCACCATGCTTTCGGACAATGGATAATCATGGGGTGCTTGACCGAGCATTTTCGCCAATCTTAATAAATCTGTTGGAAGCAGGCAGGAGGAAGCACGGGTATTGGGGAGAGGATCAGCCCTGGTTGCCTACCTGCAACTCTCTAATAGTTTTCCAAACTTGCTACAAATCTTTTATGCTCGGTTTGCCAGGAAATAGAAGGTCCCTGCCGACCCTGTAACCCCCCAAGAAGCAGACGCGAGAAGTATTGCTCTTCTTTGTATAAGCTGCTATTTTTTCATTAAGCTGAAGAGAGGGTGAAGATATTGTTTTTTCATGAGACCCTGTTTAGTTTTCAAAGGCCGTTTCATTTTAGAAGATGATTTGTACTCGGTGAGGTCACATCGCGGACAGTATTCATTCCATCCCCCATCAAGATGCTGCAGATTTAGGAAGGCTTGATTTCTGATGTTTGAGGGAGAAGTTATGATCACGAATTTGAACCGTTGTCAATTATGATTAAAACAGAAATCAATATAACTGCACCAAACTCATGTTTTTACCATACAAGTCGAAAGGAGAAAGGTTCTTGAAATTATTCTTCGGCATAAAATTTAATTCTGTTTTCGGTGATAAGATGAAGGACAAGGATTAATCATTAGCTAATCATCTATTTTCCTGATGGGAATATTTCATCTTAATAGTTTGAAGAGGTTCACAACATTATCGGTAGTGGGAATCTCTTCAAATATAGACATGCTCGTTTATTAATACCAAATGTTATTTTGAATAGGAGTTGATATGGTGTGGTGTATCAGATGAACTATAGTAATATTAAAGAATTGGTTGTTCTTTAACATCTTTTGAGTGTAGTGTATATTGTGTTGGATCTTTGTTGAAATGATGTGTCAATTATATTTATATTTTTGTCTTCCAATAGCAGGGTCTTAGTAGTGTGTCACTGAATATTTCCGTTATATCACGTTTCATCAAACACCAAGGATCAAAAGCAAGTTTGGGATTCAAACCCATGATTATTGGAAACAGCCGCAGATCGGAGGGGCCTTTGAATACAGGGCCCCTTCAGTATTTAGAACTTTTAATACTTTTAACTATTTGTATTAATACGGTACAATTTACAACCTACTGTCCCAAGATTTACCTTACATGTAGTGTATTGTGTATACTGAAAGATTATGCCAGTTTGGTAGTTTAACTGTGAAAGGGACGGTTGCAAAGCTTGTCCAAGTTTGATTCTCTACATCAATACAATATGTGAAGCCCATTTCAGGTGATACAGCTGCATTCAACCATACGCACTCACATAACTGTAGAAATTGATTTATAAACACAAAATATTTTACGTAGTTAATAATAATGCCATTTTATATTCATCCAAGTGAACTATTTTGGTTTTGTTTTTCTAAATTGTCATTCATTAGCAATTTTCACACTTCAAATTACTAACATAATTGTTGCCTGCAGGGAACTGTTTTATTTGGGAGAAAAAAATTACATTTACATTTCATCCAAGAAATATGTTTTTGTTGTGCGTCTTATCATGATCTACAAGCAGTAGGGGGCCCATGACCTCCTCGTTCTGTCAGCCTGTGCGTGTTACGTGAGCGGAAATCTCACTCTGTGTTTACATTCATTCGGGAAATTAAAAGTTAACATTGAATTATTAATTATAAACAAATCTATGTTCAGTTTCTCTTTGCACAGCTGGAATGAAAAAGTCCTGGCCCGCGAAAGGAGGAAAACGTGGCCAATCAATTATTGCACGGGTATTATGTAATTCAACATAAACAGTCAGGTGTTTAATTATTTTGCCTTGAGTAAATATCTTAATTATGATTGATTTATATTTAGGTTATATGGTGATCATTAAATTTAAGTTTGATTAAGGATTTTCTTTCAATTGACAGTGTCAACTCATTACAACTAATGTGTTAATGTCAATAAGGAATGTTTCTTTAGATTCAAAATTTACTGAGATGCTGAAGAGCAACAGCCCATGTTCTATGTAAAAATGTTTAAGATTCATGTTGTGTAATTCTTTCGTAATGGGAGGCAGAGGGTAGCTTGATGGTTACTTGTTCATGAAGATCAGGGTTTGAATCTCAGGGGCAGGAGCCCAGTAGTTTAAGGTGTCACTCAACATGCCAGTGTGGGGTTCGATCCCACCTTGGGTCCAATACTGAAAGTCAAACTAAACTAGTTCTAATTGTCACACATAAATATTTCACGACCTCCCTGTGGTCTTGTGGTAGAGCGCCTGCCCAGAGAGCGGAAGGTCCGGGGTTCCATCCACGGATGCATCATACCAAAAGACATTAAAAGATGTACTTGTTGTTACCCTGTCTGGTGCTCGGCATTTAGGGGCTAAAACAAGGACTGGTCGGCTCAGAGTCAGTATACTGTGTCTGAGTGGGGTATGAGTGTTAAACTGCGGCATGGTATCTCAGTGAGCTAGCACTATAAATCGGCATCAGTCCGGACTAGTACAATCAAACCATGCACGTCGCTATATAAGTGCATTAAAGTGAAATAATCTTGGACGCGACGTTAAACCCAATTTCACTTCACTTCACTTCACAAATATTTCACAGATATTATTCTTGTAATAACTTGTAATGATCATTTGGTCACAAATATCAATGGAGGTATGTACATCGACACATGGAACTCATTAGAACTCAGACTGTAGCACCTGTCAAAATTCCATCTTTCCCCATTCACTGGATTCATGGAAAAAATCCCTGTTTGCCTTGAATATGTTTCTAGGTTTGTCAGCACCATACCCGTGCTTGTAGGTTTCACCACTGTAGTAAACAACTGAAACCTGCATCACTTCGGGCTGTCCTCCCACAGTAATCTTAAATGCTGTGATATAACTGGAATACTGTTCTTCTTAGTTGGTGTTAAACACCACTCGCTCGCTCGCTCGCTCGCTCCCTCCCTCACTCACTCACTCACTCACTCACTCACTCACTCACTCACTCACCTAGTGGTTACAGTGTTCTCACTCACTCACTCACTCACTCACTCACTCACTCACTCACTCACTCACTCACTCACTCACTCACTCACCTAGTGGTTACAGTGTTCGCTAGTCACACCAAAGACCCTGGTTCAATTCCCGACATGGGTACAATGTGTGAAGCCCATTTCTGGTGACCCCCGCTGTAATCTGGCTGGAATATTGCTAAAAGCGGCGTAAAACCATACTCACTCACTCTTAGAAACAAAAATGTAATAGATCAATTCTCGGTAAAGGAAAAGTCTGACGTTTGGTATCATTTATTAATTGTCAATATTATGCCAAACTAACCTTCACATGTTCATGTACGAGGCACGAGGCGACACTGAAATGTACAGTTTGCTAGGAGTACACACAACCCAGAATTAGTGTGAGAGAGAACACCTTGTGTGTGATTGAACAGATTTTCTCACATTAAATCTTGTCTAATGAGAAACGTCTCAGGAACAAAAAGGGCATTGTATCTGTTATGTGACAGTTACGAGCTTGGGAGGATGACGAATCACTTAATCCTTACTGAGTTATTTCCCTTGATATTCATGATGGCTAATGTGCGTTCAGTTGATTTAGGCTTAAAACAGAATGAATTTCAAACAATTAGAAATATTTGGATATTGGGAGCTATGAAGAAAAATACATTTAAGTTTGTTGTGTAAATTAACCTGAGGTATTGTTGTTTTCCAAGGATTTAAAAGTTGTTTTTCATCCAAAGTTTATTTATGTATCAGTGATTTTTTTTATTTCTCTAATTGATGATCCTCTTGAACATCTTTTGGAAACTATTAAAGCTTTGAGATAAGTACATAATGGATTATTTATTTTCATATATTTTTTAGTGTAATTGGAGTTTGGCTCAAAAATTTTAAACTACTAAATATTCCTTCTCATTTATAAAGGATATTGTTCAATCAATTTATCAAGAAATGTTTGGAGGGCATAGAGGAATAATGTAGAAATGTGAAACATTGGTTTCATCAACAGCTTAGGTTATATGAACTATACATGTTTATAAGAATACAACTCTGTGAACATCCGGGTTAGAATTGGTCTTCAGCAACTCATGTTTGTCTTCCGCATGAAGATCCTGGTCAGAATTGGTCTCCAGCAACCCATGCTTGTCATGAGGCTATTGATGGGATCAGGTGGTCAGACTCGCTGATGCATGTCATTGTATCCCAATTGCGTAGATCAATAATCATAATGTCAATCATTGGATTGTCTGGTCCAGACTGGATTATTACAGACCACCATGATATAACTTGAATAATGCTGAGTGCGCCATTAAACAAAAACAAACAAGATGGTAGAATATCTTAATATTTTGTGTGTACATTTCTCCTACACGTACATACATGCTTCGTATTATCAATCGCTCAGAAAACAGTTGGCACAATTACGTTACAAAACCTTTCAAAGCCCCTGGAGTTAAAGAAATTAAATTACTGCCTAAAACAGAGACTAGATTGTAAGCTTGTTACAGCTGTACGAGTGTGACCGGCCATTATCACCCATGAAACCACAGACTGAGAACAAACTGTTACATGCCCTCTATTGTATGATCTCACCAACAAATTCATATTATCTTATTTCATGTTGAATAAAAACACCCTTTCTGAAATCAAAATCGGAAAATCTTAATGGCTTTTGTATTTTTTCATCAAAACAATAAATAATTTAGGCTGGAAAAACAAAGGCCCATTTATATTTCTCAACATGATAATTATTCAAAACTGCCTGCAACTACGGCTTTTTATGATTTCACAAATTGGACAGCTGTTATTGGAATTTCAAAACAGATATTTTTCATTATGGTAACAGCAGCATATCTGGTATGGACCAAGAACCACTATGTCATCAGTATGCTGGGGTATCTGCAAATACCTTGTATCTAGCCCAGGGTGAAGATGGGGGCTGAATTCCCACATGCCTCTGTTGAAATTTTATTGGTCTAATAAAGCTGACGGCATTAAGTGATAATATCTTTTGAGTTTTGAAAAGTAACATTTAGTTGTTTATATGCTTTCAGTGGATCGTGACTTTACAGACCCTATCGAGTCAGAAGAGACGGACATTCTGATGGCTGGTTAGTTCAGTTTACATATGTAATTTCACGCCTTGTCATTTTGATGCAGGTTGTACATTTTTCATTTTTAATCTGTCATATTGGTCTGAGATATTGTGTTGCAGTGGTGTTTGTGATTTGCTGTTTTTTCCCCAGCTAGTATACTGCATGAAAGACAATGTTTATTATTCCCTACCATGAAGTGGGGCGGGGGATACAGGAACGGAGTTCTTCCATCCATACGTCCATCCTACCATCTATCTGTCTACTTCTCAATGGGGACACATTTTCTCAAAAACTATTGAAGTTAGAGAAATAAATTTTACACACTGATAGTACTGGTCATGATCTTAAATGAATTCAAAAATTGGTGCTGTCTATTATGTTTGTACAGAGTTATGGCCCTTGCTCCATGCTTTCCAACTAAGTGTGTAGTGTCTGCAATGGGAACAATGGGAACAACTGACATTACATGAATGAAACTTTGCATGCTTATCTATGATTCTTGTCAAGACTGTTCGAAGATTGGTGCCATAATTCTTAAATTTTGAGCATACACATTTACAGCCCTTGATCTATGTTAGTTTTACATTTTACAGTGCATAGTATCTGCAATGGGGACAAGTTTTTCAGAAACTACTCAAGTTAGCTTATCTAAGAGATACTTATCAAGACTGAGTTTAGGAATTGGTACAATAAATTATTTTTTCTGGATAAGGGGCCTTTTTGTGTGTATTTCTTTCACATTTAGTCATTTATATGATATAAAGCAACTCTAGTGCCTGTCTCTTCTTTAGGCTTTATACTACTATTTTCTATAGTTTATATTTATGACCATATGAACAAACAAATTCTAATGTGCCCCATGGGAATAGTGTTAATGCTAATTTCTTGTTACAATCTCCAACTAAGAATTGAGCTATGACTATGATTGTGAAGATGCCATTTCAGAGGGTATTTAGTTAAACAAAGGACAATGCAATAACTGTGTAGAATTGTGTCCCTTTATTGTGCCAGGATCTGCGAGTCTACCTCAGGTCACAGAATTTCCCTGTTTTATGTTTTATTCATCCTTAGTTTGTCAGTGGCACGTATCTATGTTGCTCATTCACTAAAGTGGTGGGCAGTCGGGCAGCCTAGTGGTTAAAGCGTTCGCTCGTCACGCATAATTCAGTGATTGACATCATGAGCATCAATCTATGCAAATTGGATACAATGACATGTATCAACCAAGTCAGCGAGCCTGACCACCCGATCCCGTTAGTCGCCTCTTATGACAAGCATGGGTTGCTGAAGATGGAGACATTGTGATAATCTGTTGATTCCAGAAGTAGAATATGCAGATTCAAGTGATTTCGCTGACATAAATGATGTTATGGTAGATGTTATGGTAGATGTATAATTTCTTGTTAAAATGGGCCTTCGGAATAGCCTGCGAATTACTGGTTTAAAATCAATGGCAACAACAATTGCGTGACATGATCATAATGGTTTCATTTCATGTTAGTTATAAGTTTACTTTACTGAAATTGAACTTTGTTGTGATTGATGAATATTTCACATTTTCAGAGACGTGCTTTAATACAAATTTTAAAAAGTGGCAATGTGATGGGTTTTTTTTAATATCTGCTGATGTTACAAACTCCATGTGTATTTTTTTCTTCCTTGGCATGTATAATGTTAATGTTTCATCTGTTTCAAGCTATGTGGTTACCTTAAAAATTAAGACCTTGTACAAGAAAAGTGAATTAGACCCAGGCTGACAGATGAGGCGGCACAAGAGCAGGTTCACATGTTAGGGACAGTATCAAAAGCAGGGTGTCAGTTTTCAGACCAAGTCAGGACAGGACGTGTTAACTTATCTTGACAAATGTGAAGATCATGAAACATGCTTCATGAACGTTCAGGGGCAGTCGGGTAGACTAGTGGTTAAAGCGTTTGCTCGTCACACCGAAGACCCGGGTTCGATTCCTGACATGGGTACAATATCTGAAGCCCATTTCTGGTGTCCCCCGCCGTGATATTGCTAGAATATTGCTGAAAGCGACATTAAAACCATACTCACTCACTCATGAAAGTTCAAACATTGTTTTACCGCATTGTTTATTGTTTACAGTTTGTGTTTATATCTTGCAAACTCTTGACACCTCCCTCTTACCCACTTCTGAGTACTGTGTAAGGAGTTTAGTCTGAACCTGAAAAAGGATCAGACACACATAACTGCAGGTGTTGGTAAGCTTGTGACATCATGTGAAGAATGTTTGTTTGTTGTTTAACGCCGCGCTCAGCAATATTCCAGCTATATGACGGCGGTCTGTAAAAATCAAGTTTGGACCAGACAATCCAGTGATTGATATCATGAGCATCGATCCATGCAATTGGGATACGATGACATGCATCAACCAAGTCAGCAAGCCTGACAACCCGATCCCGTTAGTCGCCTCTTACGACAAGCATAGTCGCCTTTTATGGCAAGCATGGGTTGCTGAAGACCTATTCTACCCCGGATCTTCTGGGGGGGAATGAAACGATAGAACATTGTTGTATGAAGGTTTCAAAGAATCAAAATTATGTTTGATTTTGTGAAGATGAGTGTTCAGTGTGTTTGATGCTCTCATTATAAGAGTGAGCAGGACTGTAGATGTGCGCCTTTCTTGCTGATAGCTAGATATCAAATTTATTGGAAGTTTAGACATTGTTTGATATTTCAATTATTTCACAACTTCTTGGATTGTATTATAGGTCATTGTAACCAATTCCTCTCTTACAATGGGCATTCCTGGGTAGAATAAGTGTCATGTCATTTGTTGAAAAATACTTTATTTATGATGGGGTTGGACACAAATTTTATTTAAGGAGGGTGTGGGCGTTCACATTTTCTAATTCTCTAAATTCAGTTGGGGTTAAATCTAATTGTAATTGCAACCATCAGTAAGGAGAGGGATTTCCTCTTTATAACTTTGATAATGAGCCCCAGCCTAGTGGTTGAAGTGTTCGCTTGTCTTGCTGAAGGCTCGGGTTTGATTACCCCAATTCTGGTGCCCTCATCAGTGATATTGCTGGAATATTGTTAAAAGCGGCGTAAAACCATACTCACTCACTCACTCTATTATTGAAAGGCCTCTATGATGTTACTGTTACTAGGATACTGCTGATGCCGTTGTGTAACCTCATTCACTCATTACTATAAAAGACCCGTGAAGATTCGGGGGTATAATAGGTCTTCAGCAACCCATACTTGCCGTAAAAGGCGACTATGCTTGTCGTAAAAGGCGACTAACGGGATCGGGTGGTCAGACTCGCTGACTTGGTTGATACATGCCATCGATCCCAATTGCGTGGGTCAATGCTCATGATGTCAATCACTGGATTGTCTGGTCCAGACTCGATTATTTTACAGACTGCCGTCATATAGCTGGAATATTGCTGAGTGTGGCGTTAAACAACAAACAAACAAACAAACAAAACATTACTATAAAAAGCAACATGGCAGGGCACATAAATGTCTTGTTATTCTCTCATTGAAGAATTTGGACATGTTTCAGATTTGAAATTTCAAAGTTTCTTATTAACTGTAACCTTCCAAACTGTGTCTCAGAATGAGAGTTCAAATATGAAGAATTGTGATTATCATATGTTTGCTTGAAGGGTAATTAATACCAAGAAAAACGGTCGTTATAATGTCATGATCCTAGAATTCCTGTTATACCCTCAGCGCCAGGTATGATGAGATACCATGTGTATGTCAGGATGTACAATGGGCACAATTGTTTTTATTCCTCACAAGCCATGATTTATGTATCTTGTAATTACAAGTTCCCTTTGGCTAAAGATTAAGATGACTCAGTTACCATGGCAATGGGAAAAAAGACTTGGAAACATAATTGGAGCTCTACACACAACATATGATATGTAATTTGTGCAGCAGCACAACAGGAACAAATATCTTATGGGCAAGATTTGTAATTTATGAGTTTTTTCGAAATTTTCTTGTGTATGACTTGTCATATTCCCGGAAAGCAGTTTTTGTAATTTGATAGCAGGAAATTGGCAAAATTGGCAAAATTATTATCTTTGATATCTTCCTGAAAAAATTATGCTTCAAGGTTGCTGCTGGTAATTCTTCCAGCAGAAAAACATGCAGTTCTTCAGAACATGGTGAATAAGAGGACTTAAGGAAATAATTCCGAAATCATATTTCATATCTTATTTTAATCCTGTTGTTAAAAGTCCCAATAAGTATCATATTCTCAAAAGAAAGTTTTGGAGACAGACATATTTTGTTGTTGCTGAATAGATTCAGTTTTTTTCTGTAGGTACGTGGTTGGTAATTCCATATATGGTCTATGATTATTAGCTGTAATCTTTTAAGAAACGTTTCCTGTCTTTTGATGTGATATATACCGAACTCACATTATTCATAATGTCAATAACTATAGAGTATAATAATAATTGACATGAAAATAACGAACTGTAATATCAATCAGCTAGTGAATGAGTGTGTGTGTGGGTGTATGTGATTCTGTGTGTGAGTAGGGGTGATTGAGTGGGTAGGGTTTAATACTGCTTTGAAAGATATTTAATATCATGCCATGCAAGTTTAATTTGGAAGGAAATCCTGAAGGGATGCTTCAGATATGTAGGACAGTGCTGACATTAACTACAGCTTCTGCTGAACTGAAGCTGACAACAGTATAATTCAGAAAGTTTTACTCGATGCCCCTGTGGTGAAGTTTGCATACAAACTGCAACTATTTATCTGGATCTGTGCATATATTCATTGACTTTGTTTGTAAACTCGGCCCCGCGTTTGATTCTTTTCATCAGTGACGATGGATGGAAGAATTGAGAATTAGTTATTGATCAAAGCAACAAGCAGACGACTTAGATTGAAGGAGTTCTGTCCCTTTGACTGCTGTACCAAGTGTATGTGCTTGGCTTTCTTTAGTACTTCTAACATTATTATCCCATTAATTGACTGTCAAGATGGGGTGGTGGGGTAGCCTAGTGGCTGAACAATT